GGTGGGGGTGGGGGGCATGGATCCTTGCTGGGGATACACAGAATGAGAACTTAGAACCCACCCTGAACCTCTGCTTCCTCCCCAGCCTCATGTACTGGACAGACTGGGGCGAGAACCCCAAAATCGAGTGCGCCCACCTGGATGGGCAGGAGCGGCGTGTCCTGGTGAATACCTCCCTGGGGTGGCCCAATGGCCTGGCCCTGGACCTGCAGGAGGGGAGGCTGTACTGGGGGGACGCCAAGACAGACAAGATCGAGGTGAGTCACCCCGAGGCCAGGCCCTGCCCAGGGGCACACAGCCCGGTCATGTCTGCAGACGGAGCCTGCGAGATGGGGGTGTTCCTGTCTGGAAAAGGCACTGGGAGGCCTATCTGGAGTGATAGCTGATACGAACATGTTGTTGTCAGGGGCCGGCAAGTCTGTCCCAACTCATAGCAACCCCGTCCGTCTATGTACACCACCGGAGCACTGCCCGGTCCGGCGCTGTCCTCACAAGCCTTCTGAGGTTTGCACCCCTGGTGCAGCCACTGTGGCTGAGGGTCTTCCTTGTTCGCTGCCCCTCTACTTGACCAAGCATGATGTCCGTAAGGGCCGTGCTATACCCAAACCAGCTCTTTCCGGGTGTGGACAGTGTGCTGGGCTTATGGCACCTATTGTGGTTTGGACGGTGTACTGGGTCAATCTGCTGGACACCACCTCTAGGTTATTATGAAAAACTGGGAGGTTACCTGGCGGACTAAGGTGCCCCTGACCCAGATCATGGTATTTCCGCTCACCGCATCAGCATGTGAAAGCTGGACATCCAATGAGGAAGACAGAAGAATGGATGCAGTCGAGAGACCGCGTGCGTGAAGACTATAAGAGCCAACAATCCGTTCTGGAAGAAATGCAGCCAGAAGGCACCTCAGAAGCAAGGATGGTGAGACTCGGTCTCACGTACTCTGGACGTGTGGTCAGGAGAGACCAGTCCCTGGAGAAGGACATCAAGCTTGGAGCAGAGGAAGGCCCTCAGCGAGGTGGACCGACACAGTGGCTGCCCCTATGGGCTCAGGCGCAGGAACACTGTGAGGACGATGCAGGAGCGGGCAGTCTTTCGTCCTGTTGGGCGCGGGGTCGCGGGAGATTGGAACTACCTCAGTGGCCCCTGAGCGAGGCCGGGTGACTAGAGAAACAAATCCAGTGGCACGCATAGATGTGTAAGGAAGAGCTGTCTATCCAGATGTAGCCATCTGTCAAGACAACATCCCGGCCCGGTCCAACTCAAGCCCCTAAGTCCCATACTAGTGTTCAGGCCCTCTTCCGACGCATCCAGCCACGTGCAGTGATGCAGGACGCAGGAAGAGCACAAGCCGGTGCGTGCAAAGTCCTGTGGATCCGGTGGCGGTGGTAGCATCGCGGGGCTCACAGCAACCAGGGTCTGCCAGCAGGAAGGTGAATGCTGAGAGCAAGAGTGAAGGAGGGAGGGAGGGAGGTTCCCAGGGCCCTCCTTATGAGAAGGCCACGCCCACAAGAGGGCACCATCAGGCTGAGACCTGGCCGATAGGTTGAATCCCACCCCTGCACTTTCACGCATCTTCAAGTGGACATGAAATGATGGAACTGTCCGGTGGCAGCTTCAGGGGAAGCTGGTGCAAGAGTCGTGGACTCTCTGCCCTATTTCTGCCATCTTTCTAAGTCTCATCCTCCAAACCGACTCACGGGCACCCTATCAGCCAGAGTAGAATTGCTCCGTGGGGTTTCCGAGATGATCACTATGTATGGGAGCAGACAGCCTCGCCTTTCTCCCTCGGAGCGGCTGGTGGGCTCAAACTGCAGACCTTGTGGTTAGCAGCTCACCCCCACAGGGGTCAGTCAGCAGGGCTGCTCCTGTGCATCTTGGGGGACTTCAGAACTCAGTGAAAATCTGATAGACCACCCCAGCTCATGCTGGGAGACATGGTCGGCCTTGTCGGGCCGAGTCTGAATTTGTTGGATTGTCCCCAGCATCTCATCACTGCTCTTTGTCACTCGGAGGTCCAAGCAGCAGGTGGACATCATTTTACATCATTTTATATCATTCAGAAGAGAAAAAAAAAGAAAAATCACTGCCAGCAAGTCCATTCTGGCTCACAGGGACAGTTCTGCCCTGTCCCTGTGGGTTCCCAAGACGGTAACTCTTGGTGGGAGTAGAAAGCCTCATCTTTCTCCCTCAGAGTGACTGGTGGTTTTGAACTGCTGACCTTGTGGTTAGCAGCCCAGTGTGTAACCACTCTGCCACCAGGGCTCCTCTGTGAGAACTTCCAGCCTTGGGAATCTGATGGGGCCATCCTCCCTTGTTCTACAGGGGCGTTCTGAGTCAGAATTGGCTCAGCCTGGCTTGTTTTTTTTGTGTTCTGGTCTTTTATAAGCCACCTTAACGCTTAAGGCCTTTAAAACGGTAATAATAATAATAATAATAAAGAGTAATCCAGGCCATTTGGAACATGTCGGAGTGAAAGAGAGACGTTTCCCCTTCCTAATTTCAGAAGCTCTGACGTAGTGGTTACGTGTTATGCTAGTAACGGAATGGTCAGCGGTTTGAAACGACCAGCTGCTCACTGGGAGAAAGACCGGGCTTTCTATTCCTGTAAAGAGCTACAGTCTCGGAAACCCGCAGGGGCAGCCCTGCCCTGTGCTGTGGGGTCGCTGTGAGCCGGCACCGACTGAGCAGCATCAGCAGCAGTGATTTCAGAAGAGAGCCGCCAAGACTGTTCAGTGCGAGTTGGCTTTCAAAACTGTAAAAATAGAAAAGCCGCGCGGGAAACGTGGTGGCCGGTCTCAGGGCCACACAGCACGGCAGGGTCAGCGTATGAGGAGAGAGCCAAGCTCTTTATTGGGAGTGAGCATGCCATTTTGAATCCCAGGGCAAAATGAGAAGTCGTAAAACGAACTGGGTAACGCACCCCAGAGAATGTTCTGTAAAATAATAATAATAAAAAGTGCCCTCTGAGGTCACCTGGTTTTCGCTGTCGGGCGTCCTTGAGGTGAGTCTGACTCGTAGTTAAGTGACCTCACACGACAGAGTGGAACTTCCCCCACGGGGTTTCCGGAACTGTAATCTTCAGGAGAGCAGAGGGGCACCTGCTGTGGGCTTTTAACAGGCCAACCTTTTAGTTCACAGCGCCGTGTGTAACCACCCCACCCCACCCTTAGACTCCCCTACCTGCTCCTTGCTAAGTAAGATGTGCCTATAAGGAGGTGGAGAAATTTGGCCTTCCTCTGTGATGTGAATACCCCCCTGGACTGCCCGGACTGTACCCAGGGCAGGCATTGCTAATCGATCCCAGAGCTCGTTTCTGCAGAGCCCAGCCCTGGACCAAGGCACTGGCACTCCAGGCAGCCAAGGCTAGTCACTGAGTGATGCCGGAGGAGAGCGAGCATACCTGTTTGCAGGCCTCTGCACCTAAGCACAGTGTCCACAGGGAGGGGAGGCCACAGAGAGGCCCCTGTCACTGCTCGGTCAGCCCAGGTGACAAGTGTCATAGTGAAGCTCACCTTTCTCCCATGAGCCCTTGGCTCCTGGCCAGGTCCAGACGGAACTTGGGCACCTGGTAGGGGGCGACCCGTCCTGTGAGGCCGCCCAGGTGCGCAGCTCATCCGGGTCTGTGTCTGGCTCGCAGGTGGTCAACATGGATGGGACAAAGAGGCGGACGCTGCTGGAGGACAAGCTCCCGCACGTCTTCGGGTTCACCCTGCTGGGAGACTTCATCTACTGGACTGACTGGCAGAGGCGGAGCATCGAGCGGGTGCACAAGGTCAAGGCCAGCCGCGACGTCATCGTCGACCAGCTGCCCGACCTCATGGGGCTCAAGGCCGTGAGCGTGGCGAAGGTCATCGGTGAGCCCATGGGGCAGCCCTGTTGGGCCAGACCTGGGGACAGACGCACCGCCCCTCTGTGGATGGAGTAGGAAGGGAGAATGAGACAGGCGTCAGTCAGTAACCGTCTCTGGTTCAGGGAAGATGGAGCGGGATGGGATACCGACCAGGGATA